CCGTGAGCTATGATGCCATGGCACTCTACCCAGGGTGACAGAGTGAGACTCTATTTCAGACCCAACCCCCCAAATTAGATTAAAAGACTTCATTTTTGGAAATGTGTATAACATTACTGAGATTGCAACACTGTGAGTGCTATACTTGTTATAGGTGAGACTTATTTCTTGTTCCTCTTAACCTTCCAAGAGTTCATGGGTTGGACACATGGTGGCATTAGGCAAAGCCTGATCTGTAGTTGGAGATGTAATCATAATTCTCTATGTTCGCTGATTTTTTTTTTCCTTTATTATTTTATGGAAAGATACATGCAGGGACTACCAAATATAGATCGAGATTTTGCAAAACTACATATGAATAGACTTGGATATGTGAGTTAAATCATTTCAATTTTCTTAAATTCTAGGAGATCTAGATATATGGCATCTTACCTATCTGTATCTTTGTGGAAGTTGTTTATGGTAATTCTTAGACTACATACTTGAAGACTATACTGTGGTCACATGGTTCAGTTTTTTCTGTTAACCATGATTTAAATCACATTTTAAATTTCTAGTATAATTGTTCTAGCAAAATGTTATAGAATTTGTCTCATTTATTTCTTCATTTAACCATAAGTAAATATATACTCAGAACTAAATAATGTGCTAGGAGCTATAGAGAAAGAGCTGAAAATAAAGAGATTGAGGAAAGATCAGTAAGCAGGAAGCTTTAATATAGTGTGCTCATGCTCTGACACAGATACATTCTGGGTGCTTGAGGCCCACAGAGGAGTATAGAGTAAGAGTTGGTCAGGAGGTAGGGAGGTGAGGGCATCCTTAGGAGAGGGAGTAATGTGTTTAAGAATAGAGGCAGCAGGAGTGACTGTGTGGGATATGCTGGCAAATATCAGTGATTCAGCATGACTGAACTAAGTATGCTATGTGTTATAGTGTTGAATGATTGGTTTAAAGAGGAAAGGAGGTAGGGGCCCAATAATGAATTTGTTCTTGTAATTTGTTTTAGATATAACCATTTAAAATCTGGGAAATTGATTCTGTAGGTTGGGAGTGGTGGTCAGTGTCTTTGAAAAGATAACTCCTGGCCAGGCGCACTGGCTCACACCTATAATCCTAGTATTTTGGGAGGCTGAGGTGGGTGGATTGCTTGAACTCATGAGTTCGAGACCAGCCTGAGCAAGGGTGAGACTCTGTTTCTAAAAAACAGCTGGGTATTGGGGTGGGCATCTGTAGTCTCAGTTTCTCAGGACGCTGAGGCAAGAGGATCTCTTGAGCCCAAGAGTTTGATCTACGACTCTACCACACTCTACTAAGGATGACTAAGTGAGACTTATGTCTCAAAAACAGAAAGAAAAGATAGCTTCTCTGGGCTCAGCACTTCAGAATGCCTTACCATTTCCAGCTGTTTGGTAAAGGTAAGATACTAGAGGGTTTTTTTTTTTTGAGACACAGTCTTAACTGTGTCACCCTCAGTAGAGTGCTATGGCATCACAGCTCACAGCAGCCTCTAACTATTGCGCTTAAGTGATTCTCTTGCCTCAGCCTCCCAAGTAGCCAGGACTATAGGCACCTGCCACAATGCCTGGCTAATTTCTTTTTGTAGTTGTCATTGTTGTTTGGGAGGCCCAGGCCAGGCTTGAACCCGCCAGCCCTGGTATATGTGGTTGGCGCCTTAGTTGCTGAGCTACAGGTGCTGAGCCAATCCTAGAAGATTTATTTTTATAATTTCATGTTCCTATATTATTGTTGTTATTCATTGGGTGATTTGGTTTCAGTTGTAAGAGTCTTGCTGAAAATTGACACTGAAGAAACCAGGGGCACGTATAAGTTCATCATGATTGTAATTCTGTGACAGATGGCTGTTTCATAAATACTTCTTAATTTTAAATGCTAACTTTTGTTTTTCCTTTTAGCTTTTGTTGGCAACCCTTAGTTAGACATAGTATTTACTGTGACTTGTTTAGAAGCTGGCTTTCTCCTCTGTCTTTGCATAGTGGTTTTGAATATAAGCGAAGCATGGTCCTTTTTTTTTTTTTTTTTTTTCTTAGAGACAGTCTTACTCTGTTGTCCACGGCATTAGCCTAGCTCATGGCAACCTCAAACTCTTGGATTTAAGTAATTCTCCTCCCTTAGTCTCTCAAGTAATTGGACTGTAGGCACCTGCCACAATGCCTGGCTAAGTTTTTCTACTTTTAGTAGAGATAGGCTCAGGCTGGTCTTGCACTCCTGAGCTCAAAGGATGCTCCTGCCTCAGCCTCCCAGAATGCCAGTATAACAGATGTGAGCCACTGCACCTGGCCAGCATGGTCTTTATAATTTGAAGAAGCCTGTTTCTATTTAGTGAGTACTTACTGAATGCCTCGCAAGACTGAGGAACTCTTTTACCCGAGATAATCTTCTTTTTTTTTTTTTTTTTTAAGGGACAGAGTCTCACTCTGTTACCCTTGGTAGAGTGCTGTGGCATCACAGCTCACAGCAACCTCCAGCTCTAGGGCCCAGGCAATTCTCTTGCCTCAGCCTCTCAAACAGCTGGGACTCTGAGATAATCTTCAAAGGTTGTAATGAATTGATGTACCCAACCTAATTCCAGAATTAGTAACTGTTAAAGATACCTGTGGTGATTTTGCATAGTTTTGTTAAAATCAATTTATAGGTCCTAAGTGGAAAGAGGGTTCTATACACTGTGGGGAGAGAAACAATACTTCAAAAAGTATTGTCCAGTTTCCCCCTCCTTGTCCCCTTTCCTCTCTCTTTCCTGTTTAAAAAAAAAAAGGAGAAGAAGAAAAAAATATATTTTTTGAGACAGAGTCTCACTATGTCACCCTTGTTAGAGTGTTGTGGCGTCATAGCTCACAGCAACCTCAACCTCTTGGGCTTAAGCGATTCTCTTGCCTCAGTGTCCCAAGTAGCTGGGACTACAGGTGCCCGCCACAATGCCTGGTTATTTTTTTGTTGCAGTTATCATTTTTGTTTAGCAGGCCTGGGCTAGGTTCGAACCCACCAGCCCCTAGTGTATTTGGCCGGCTCCCTAACCGCTGAGCTTTGGGCGCTGAGCCAAAGAAAAGAAGAAAATTTAAAAGTGTTGTTTATGTCCTCAGAACTATCGCTTGTCTATATTTAAATTTCCCAGATTGTTTCGAGGATAGTTTTTATAGTTGATTTGGTCAAATTAACATTGGGTTTTGCTGTGTCTCCAGTGTACTTTTATTCTTTAACAGCCCTTCCACTGCATTTGTTCTCCTTTTCTTGTTTTTGAAAAGCTTTGAGAAACCATATCATTTGTTTTATTGAAGACCCCACATTCTGTACTTGGCTGATTGCTTCCCTGAATTGTTTAACTTCTTTCTCTATTTCCTGTAAACTGGCAAAGAGATCAGATCTAGAGGCTTGATAAGATTTGGGTTTGGTATTGTTTAGAGCCAGGTGTACCCTACAGGGATGGTAAGTACTGGCCATAGTTTATGAGGAGACATATCATGTTTGGTGGTTCTACATTTATTTATTTATTTATTTATTTATTTTGAGACAGAGTCTCACTACGTTACACTTGGTAGAGTGCTGTGGTATTACAGCTCACAGCAACCTCTTATTCTTGGGCTTAAGTGATTCTCTTGCCTCAGCCTCCCAAGTAGCTGGAACTACAGGTGCCCATCACAATGCTCAGCTATTTTTCTTTTGTTGCAGTTGTTGTTGCTTAGCTGGCCTGGGCTGAGTTTGAACCCACCAGCCTTGGTGTATGTGGCTGGTGTAGTAACCACTGCTATGGCCGCCGAGCCTGGTGGTTCTCTTTTAGTGATGCTAAGATTGATCAGAGGGTTCACTTGATATGAACAAGATAGGTTTGTCCTAAAGCTTCTTATTCTTTTACGCTGTTATTTTCAGTATCTTTTAATTGTTCTTGCCTAGATTCATTATTTTATTAGAGATTGCAAAATGGTGATTTTTCTCATTATTTTTTATTTTGTACTTATTAGCTGAAGTTGTTTGGAAAATTAATAAAAAATTTATTTTCACCAATTTAGTTAATCTGAAGTATAATTAGTGTAAGCAGGATACATGTTTGATCTGCATTACACACCTGACTACTTCCTTATTATCAGTTTTCAAAATAATGAGGTGGTTTTAGCAATCTCTGGTGGTAAGCAGTGTCAGATTTGTCTTTTACATTATTAACTCATATCTTTACGTATTTGCTATGATTTAACGCATGGAAGCCATTATTGTTTTTGATGCTCAAAAAATGCTTTAGGTGGGTTCTATCTCTTTTGACATGACATTTTTCATTCTTTGAATAATTGGGGTTTGAACCTTGTTTTTTTTTTTTTAACTTTAACGCCTATGTTCTTCCAACTATTATTGTCATGCCTTTCTGAAGGAAGCCCTTCAGGAGTAGGAGAGACTTAAATTCCACAGTTTATGGGATAGGAATTCATATGAGGAATTTATTCCTCATGTGAACATAAGTCTAGCTACAAGGAAGGCAAAAGGTACTTGTGGCACAAAAGTACTGGACTGTGGAGTGGTGAGAGAAGCAAAGAAAAATAGACCATAGATGCAGCACAATAATGCTTAGGCAGTTGGTTGTGAGATTGATAAAAAAAATTATTCTTGTTGAGGATAGCCCATGATTGCCATTTTCGCTGAACTTTGCAGAGTTACTTGATGAGTGCTTTTACAGTGACCTGAATTTCTCAGGTCTTAAGGACTATAAACCTGCAGTTCTTACAGATGTCATATGCTTATCTTGAATTTGAATGAACGTAAGGGGGTGAATGTGTATAAATAAAATTAAAATTTGTGTAGTTATAATTAAAAGTATCTTTGTATAATTTATTTCTGGTAACTTAACTCTTACTTTAAAAAATAATTATCTTCCTGTTAGGTTATTTGTTATGTTGTCTGAAATCTAAGGAATAATTATACATTGCTGGGCTTTATCATATTTTAGTTTAAAATTTGGCTAATGGCTGTTTTGCTGTGTTTTACTTACTGATTTCTAGAGCCCCATGGTTATGAATGTGCTTCAGTTTCATAATGCCTCCTGCTATGGCAGACATCCTTGACATCTGGGCAGTGGATTCACAGATAGCATCCGATGGCTCCATACCT